ATAGACTAGACTATAGACTAGACTATAGACTAGACTATAGACTAGACTATAGACTAGACTATAGACTAGACTATAGACTAGACTATAGACTAGACTATAGACTAGACTATAGACTAGACTATAGACTAGACTATAGACTAGACTATAGACTAGACTATAGACTAGACTATAGACTAGACTATAGACTAGACTATAGACTAGACTATAGACTATAGACTAGACTATAGACTAAACTATAGACTAGACTATAGACTAGACTATAGACTAGACTATAGACTAGACTATAGACTAGACTATAGACTAGACTATAGACTAGACTATAGACTAGACTATAGACTAGACTATAGACTAGACTATAGACTAGACTATAGACTAGACTATAGACTAGTCTATAGACTAGACTATAGACTAGTCTATAGACTAGACTATAGACTAGACTATAGACTAGACTATAGACTAGACTGTAGACTATAGACTAGACTGTAGGCTATAGACTAGACTGTAGACTATATAGACTAGACTATAGAAAAGACTATAAACTAGACTATAGACTAGACTATAGACTAGACTCTAGACGACACTATAGACTAGACTATAGGCTAGACAATAGACTAGACTATAGACTAGACTATAGGCTAGCCAATAGACTAGACTATAGACTAGACTATAGACTAGACTGTAGACTAGACTATAGACTGAACTATAGACCAGACTATAGACTAGACTATAGACTAGACTATAGACTAGACTATAGACTAGACTATAGACTAGACTATAGACTAGAATATAGACTAGACTTTAGACTAGACTATAGACAAGACTATAGACTAGACTATAGACTATAGTCTAGTCTATAGTCTAGTCTAGACTAGACTATAGACTAGACTATAGACTAGACTATAGACTAGACTATAGACTAGACTATAGACTAGACTATAGACTAGACTATAGACTAGACCATAGACTAGACTATAGACTAGACTATAGACTAGACTATAGACTAGACTATAGACTAGACTATAGACTAGACTATAGACTAGACTATAGACTAGACTATAGACTAGACTATAGACTAGACTATAGACTAGACTATAGACTAGACTATAGACTAGACTATAGACTAGACTATAGACTAGACTTTAGACTAGACTATAGACTAGACTATAGACTAGACTATAGACTAGACTATAGACTAGACTATAGACTAGACTATAGACTAGACTATAGACTAGACTATAGACTAGACTATAGACTAGACTATAGACTAGACTATAGACTAGACTATAGACTAGACTATAGACTAGACTATAAACTAGACTATAGACTAGACTATAGACTAGACTATAGACTAGACTATAGACTAGACTATAGACTAGACTATAGACTAGACTATAGACTAGACTATAGACTATAGTCTGGACTATTGAATATACTATAGAGTACACCATAGGCTGGACTTTAGAGTAGACTATGGAGTAAACTATAGAATAGACTACAGTGTAAACTATAGACTAGTCTTTAGACTAGACTATAGTTAGTAAATTTTTATATAATTTTTCATAATTTCTCTCTTATATATTAAAAAAATTATTCCTTTCACATAAATTTCTAGTATATTGTAAACTTTTTATTTTAGCACAGTATTTTATTAATTGCAATGTCCTTTACAAAATTTTCCCCAATTTAGATTTGAGAACCATGTACCATTTTATAAAGGAAATCTTCCATTCATTTATTTTACATTGATTTAATTAAAAAAAATCCAAACCGTTTTTGTCATTAAATATAAATAAAATGGAGCAAAAATAAACAAACAAAAAAAAACTCAAGTTAACCATTATTTCTTGAGTTCAATAGGTCATAGACAACAACAGCAACCGATGCAATGTAATCAAGAGTGTAGGCGAAGAAGAAGGGAAGTGAGTAGTGATGGGAGAAAGAATAAAAAATGTCAACAGCAAAATAAATAATGGCAACCATTTGCATTGTGTGGCCTCAAACTGGTGTTGATTACTGCAAATGAAAAACAAAGGTACGAAGATGAGAGCAATGAGTCAATAAGGATGCCAATGTAAAGGGCTTCATAAGAGGAAGAAATTCAAGCAGTTTATAAATAGGGAAATTCTAAAATAAATTGGCAAAGAAAATCAATTAAATTTAAGAGAAACTTTAATTTAAATTTATATCAAATACTTTAGAAATATAAAGAAAAACTCCAGCATTGTTAACCCTTTCCTTACACATTTTAAAAATCTGCTAAAAACAAAAAAACTATCATAATCAGACTTCCACTGATGACGTTAAGCATTAACTATATAGAATAATATTGCATCGCAAAACTGGGTCAATCTCAAACACAAAAAACACACATAAGTTTTTGCTTTTTGTCATATTATTTGTTTGAAGTAACTTTAATGCAAATTTTGCAAAAAGAAATTTTAAGAACAAATAGTACTATATAGTGCCCGACAACTAACAAAAACAAATAATATAAATTTAACATTTTGTATTAAAAAAGGAAATGGAAAAAAACAGAATGCAAATTTTCTACAAGCAAAGTACTTTTTATTTTTGCAAAATAATCAGAAAATACTATATTCTGGAAAGAATTTATTGTGGAAAGCGATTAAAGTTAAAGATTAATAAATAAAATCGTAGCAATTGGAATGAAAATAATCTTCAAGGCTTTGCTGACACTCAAATGGCTTTTGGACTGCTCGATAGTCTAACCTACAGTATGGTCTATAGTATAACATATAGCCTACTCTATAGTCTAACCTATAGACTAGTCTATAATCTGGTCTAGTATATAGTCTAGTCTGTAGTCTAGTCTATATTCTAGTCTGTAGTCTAGTCTATAGTCTAGTCTGTAGTCTAGTCTATTGGACAGTCTAAAGTTTACTCTATAGTTTAGTATATAGTATAGTATAGTATAAAGTTCAGTCTATAGTCTAGTCTATAGTCAAGTCTATAGTCTAGTCTATAGTCAAGTCTATAGTCTAGTCTATAGTCTAGTCTATAGTCTAGTCTATAGTCTAGTCTATAGTCTAGTCTATAGTCCAGTCTATAGTCTAGTCTATAGTCAAGTCTATAGTCTAGTCTATAGTCAAGTCTATAGTCTAGTCTATAGTCAAGTCTATAGTCTCTTCTATAGTCAAGTCTATAGTCTAGTCTATAGTCTAGTCTATAGTCTAGTCTATAGTCTAGTCTATAGCCAAGTCTATAGTCTAGTCTATAGTCTAGTCTATAGTCTAGTCTATAGTCTAGTCTATAGTCTAGTCTATAGTCTAGTCTATAGTCGAGTCTATAGTCTAGTCTATAGTCAAGTCTATAGTCTAGTCTATAGTCAAGTCTATAGTATAGTCTATAGTCAAGTCTATAGTCTAGTCTATAGTCTAGTCTATAGTCTAGTCTATAGTCAAGTCTATAGTCTAGTCTATAGTCTAGTCTATAGTCTAGTCTATAGTCTAGTCTATAGTCTAGTCTATAGTCCAGTCTATAGTCTAGTCTATAGTCTAGTCTATAGTCTAGTCTATAGTCTAGTCTATAGTCTAGTCTATAGTCTAGTCTATAGTCTAGTCTATAGTCTAGTCTATAGTCTAGTCTATAGTCTAGTCTATAGTCTAGTCTATAGTCTAGTCTATAGTCTAGTCTATAGTCTAGTCTATAGAGTCTATAGTCTAGTCTATAGTCTAGTCTATAGTCGTCTATAGTCTAGTCTATAGTCTAGTCTATAGTCTAGTCTATAGTCTAGTCTATAGTCTAGTCTATAGTCTAGTCTATAGTCTAGTCTATAGTCTAGTCTATAGTCTAGTCTATAGTCTAGTCTATAGTCTAGTCTATAGTCTAGTCTATAGTCTAGTCTATAGTCTAGTCTATAGTCTAGTCTATAGTCTAGTCTATAGTCTAGTCTATAGTCTAGTCTATAGTCTAGTCTATAGTCTAGTCTATAGTCTAGTCTATATAGTCTAGTCTATAGTCTAGTCTATAGTCTAGTCTATAGTCTAGTCTATAGTCTAGTCTATAGTCTAGTCTATAGTCTAGTCTATAGTCTAGTCTATAGTCTAGTCTAGAGTCTAGTCTAGTCTATAGTCTAGTCTATAGTCTAGTCTATCGTCTAGTCTATAGTCTATAGTCTATAGTCTAGTATAGTCTAGTCTATCGTCTATAGTTAGTCTAGTCTAGTCTAGTAGTATAGTCGTCTATAGTCTAGTATAGTCTAGTCTAGTATAGTCTATAGTCTAGTCTATAGTCTAGTCTATAGTCTAGTCTATAGTCTAGTCTATAGTCTAGTCTATAGTCTAGTCTATAGTCTAGTCTATAGTCTAGTCTATAGTCTAGTCCATAGTCTAGTCTATAGTCTAGTCTATAGTCTAGTCTATAGTCTAGTCTATAGTCTAGTCTATAGTCTAGTCTATAGTCTAGTCTATAGTCTAGTCCATAGTCTAGTCTAGTCTAAAGTCTAGTCTATAGTCTAGTCTATAGTCTAGTCTATAGTCTAGTCTATAGTCTAGTCTATAGTCTAGTCTATAGTCTAGTCTATAGTCTAGTCCTAGTCTATAGTCTAGTAGTCTAGTCTATAGTCTAGTCTATAGTCTAGTCTATAGTCTAGTCTATAGTCTAGTCTATAGTCTAGTCTAGTCTAGTCTAGTAGTCTAGTCTAGTAAGTCTAGTCTATAGTCTAGTCTATAGTCTAGTCTATAGTCTAGTCTATAGTCTAGTCTATAGTCTAGTCTATAGTCTAGTCCATAGTCTAGTCTAGTCTAAAGTCTAGTCTATAGTCTAGTCTATACACTAGTCTATAGTCTAGTCTTTAGTCCCGTCTATGGTATGGTAAATAAAAGTGTTTTTCAAATAAATAGTACTTTGCTAATTAACCTTTATACTACACAATGTATAACCTGAATCAGTATAAATATTAATAAAACTTTTTGTAATTTTCCCCTTTTCAAGTGTGCTAGTTTGTTGATATTATTTTTTCTACATTCTTATTATTCTAGGGCTTCCTGGAAGATCATCCTTGCACCAATACACCACCCGATACAATGTATGCACTGTTATGGTCAATGTGTGCGGTATTTGGTATTGTTTTTGTGCTTCTGGGTAAGTAAAATAATACTTGAAATAAAATAATGAAAAAAAAAAAATAGAACCCATTGAGCCAACAAAAACTGTTTTAGGTAACAGTTTCTTGTAATAAGTTAAACTACATAGTCAAAAGCTTAAACCTAAGATTAATAAAATTTAGACAGATAAATTAACTTTTAATGAAAGATCTAGTTGGCATTACTGTTTTTAGTAATTTTCTTTTAATAGTGATGCCATACTTTCTTAGCATAGCTTCAGATATTTACTTCTTTCGTAATGATATTTAAGTTTAACCAAAAGTTATTTATAGATTAAGTTTAATAGTATTACTATATCTGAAAAATTAGTCTTTTATACTCCCTTTACAGCAGTGTTTAAACGCATATTTGTATATACATATGTCTGCATGTTTGTATACACGTTGTCACCTATATAGAACTCACCTAAGCATACTCTTTCCTACTTGAATGTACGTAATTTAGCACATATTACATACTTAGTTCAACTATTATATAATAAATATATAAAAATCGCCTGAAGGCCGTTTCTTGACACGTTTACCACACACCACCATCAACAACATGATAACACTGAAAGATATTAAAGTGTTTATATCAGTCAAACAAAATTTAATGTTCCTAGTCGATAGTTGAACTTATCTGTAGTCTAGCTCTGGAATAGTCTTTAGCCTAGTGGATAGTGTAGTCTGGTCTATAGTCTAGTCTATTGTCTAGTCTATAGTCTAGTCTATTGTCTAGTCTATAGTCTGGCCTATAGTCTGGTCTATAGACTGATCTATAGTCTGGTCTATAGACTGGTCTATAGTCTGGTCTATAGACTGGTCTATAGTCTAGTCTATAGTCTAGTCTATAGTCTAGTCTATAGGCTAGTCTATAGTCTAGTCTATAGTCTAGTCTATAGCCTAGTCTATAGTCTAGTCTATAGTCTAGTCTATAGTCTAGTCTATAGTCTAGTCTAAAGTCTAGTCTAAAGTCTAGTCTAAGCCTCGTCTATAGTCTAGCTATAGTCTAGTCTATAGTCTAAGTCTAGTTATAGTCTAGTCTATAGTCTAGTCTATAGTCTAGTCTAGTCTATAGTCTAGTCATAGTCTATAGTAGTCTAGTCTATAGTCTAGTCTATAGTCTAGTCTTAGTCTAGTCTATAGTCTAGTCTATAGTCTAGTCTATAGTCTAGTCTATAGTCTAGTCCTATAGTCTAGTCTATAGTCTAGTCTATAGTCTAGTCTATAGGTCTAGTCTATAGTCTAGTTCTATAGTCTAGTCTATAGTCTAGTCTATAGTCTAGTCTATAGTCTAGTCTATAGTCTAGTCTATAGTCTAGTCTATAGTCTAGTCTATAGTCTAGTCTATAGTCTAGTCTATAGTCTAGTCTATAGTCTAGTCTATAGTCTAGTCTATAGTCTAGTCTATAGTCTAGTCTATAGTCTAGTCTATAGTCTAGTCTATAGTCTAGTCTATAGTCTAGTCTATAGTCTAGTCTATAGTCTAGTCTATAGTCTAGTCTATAGTCTAGTCTATAGTCTAGTCTATAGTCTAGTCTATAGTCTAGTCTATAGTCTAGTCTATAGTCTAGTCTATAGTCTAGTCTATAGTCTAGATTAGATATATAGTCTAGTCTATAGTCTAGTCTATAGTCTAGTCTATAGTCTAGTCTATAGTCTAGTCTATAGTCTAGTCTATAGTCTCGTCTATAGTCTAGTCTAAGTCTAGTCTATAGTCTAGTCTATAGTCTAGTCTATCGTCTAGTCTATAGTCTAGTTCTATAGTCTAGTCTATAGTCTAGTCTATAGTCTAGTCTATAGTCTAGTCTATAGTCTAGTCTATAGTCAGTCTATAGTCTAGTCTATAGTCTAGTCTATAGTCTAGTCTATAGTCTGTCTATTGTCTAGTCTATTGTCTAGTCTATAGTCTAGTCAAGTCTAGTCTATAGTCTAGTCTATAGTCTAGTCTATAGTCTAGTCTATAGTCTAGTCTATAGTCTAGTCTATAGTCTAGTCTATAGTCTAGTCTATAGTCTAGTCTATAGTCTAGTGGATAGTTTAGTCTGTAGTCTATACTAGACTATAGACTAGACTATAGACTAGACTATAGACTAGACTATAGACTAGACTATAGACTAGACTATAGACTAGACTATAGACTAGACTATAGACTAGACTATAGACTAGACTATAGACTAGACTATAGACTAGACTATAGACTAGACTATATAGTCTAATCTAGTCTATAGACTAGACTATAGACTAGACTATAGACTAGACTATAGACTAGACTATAGACTAGACTATAGACTAGACTATAGTCTAGTCTATAGTCTAGTCTATAGTCTAGTCTATAGTCTAGTCTATAGTCTAGTCTATAGTCTAGTCTATAGTCTAGTCTATAGTCTAGTCTATAGTCTAGTCTATAGTCTAGTCTATAGTCTAGTCTATAGTCTAGTCTATAGTCTAGTCTATAGTCTAGTCTATAGTCTAGTCTATAGTCTAGTCTATAGACTAGATTAGACATATAGTAGTCTAAGTCTAGTCTATATCTAGTCTATAGTCTAGTCTATAGTCTAGTCTATAGTCTAGTCTATAGTCTAGTCTATAGTCTAGTCTATAGTCTAGTCTATAGTCTAGTCTATAGTCTAGTCTATAGTCTAGTCTATAGTCTAGTCTATAGTCTAGTCTATAGTCTAGTCTATAGTCTAGTCTATAGTCTAGTCTATAGTCTAGTCTATAGTCTAGTCTATAGTCTAGTCTATAGTCTAGTCTATAGTCTAGTCTATAGTCTAGTCTATAGTCTAGTCCTTGTCTATCTAGTCTAGTCTATAGTCTAGTCTATAGTCTAGTCTATAGTCTAGTCTATGTCTAGTCTATAGTCTAGTCTATAGTCTAGTCTATAGTTTAGTCTATAGTCTAGTCTATAGTCTAGTCTATAGTCTAGTCTATAGTCTAGTCTATAGTCTAGTCTAGTCTATAGTCTAGTCTATAGTTCTAGTCTATAGTCCTAGTCTATAGTCTAGTCTATAGTCTAGTCTATTAGTCTAGTCTAAATAAAATACAGAATTCAGAAAAATCTAATCCACCAACATTATGATTTTGTTAACTAAATTAATGTTTTTGTTTCTCTTTTAGGTTATCGCTGTTTAAGGGCTGTGGGCTTTTTAACTGGAGCCTTTATTGGAATTAAAGCGGTGTCAATGCTACGCATTAACGTTACCGGTTATTTGGGTGAACCGGCCGATGCCTGCTCTTCTTTGGTGGGTGGTTTAATAGGTGCTGTTTTGGGTTCCACATATCCGGTGGCCACATTTTTTATAAGTGCTTTTGCCGGCGTCATAATAGCCGGGGCAGCTATGGCGGTTTGTGTTGCCACTATGCCGGATAATGAATTTGGTGTAAGTTGTTTCTCAGATATGTATAAAACTATATTTTAATTTTGTCGTTTTTCCCCTTAGCAAGCTGAAATCACTGTGGCCTTAATTGGTGGCGCCATCATATGCTCCGTGCTCACCTTGTGTAGTGCTAAATATGTTACCATATTAACTACCAGTGTTGTGGGTTCAGCCATGATTATCTGTTCAATTGATTTCTTTTTACATGGACTTATGCTGACTAAATGGGTGAGTTTAAAATGTTCCTACAAATTTCTAAAATTTCTAAATTACACTCTTCGCTAGATTTTCAACATGAAACCCCATCCAAATCCACCTGCCTGCTATGGTGGTATACTGATATTTGCCTGGCCGGTTAGTATTTTAATCGGTTTAATGATACAAAGTTTCATCACTGCCTGGGGTATCGATCATCGTAAGAGAGTGTTTCAAAAACGTCACCAACAGCTGCAGCGTATGCAGTCGCGACCTCGTGAAACACGCGAGGAAGCCAGACAACGTAAATTTCGTTACCTTTATCAAGTACGCACAGCTAGGGGAGATATTATATCACAGGTGGGTTTAAATTTAAAACCATTTTAAACTATGAACCAAAAACTAGACTATTAACTAGACTATAGACTAGACTATAGACTAAACTAATAACTAGACTACAGACTGGACTAAGACTAGTCCATAGACTAGACTATAGGCTAGACTATAGACTAGACTATACACTAGACTATAGACTATACTAGAATATAGACTAGACTATTAACTAGACTACAGACTGGACTAAAGACTAGTCCATAGACTAGACTATAGGCTAGACTATAGACTAGACTATACACTAGATATAGACTATACTAGAATATAGACTAGACTATAGATTAGACTATAGACTAGAATAAACTAGACTATAGACTAGACTATAGACTAGACTATAGACTAGACTATAGACTAGACTATAGACTAGACTATAGACTAGACTATAGACTAGACTATAGACTAGACTATAGACTAGACTATAGACTAGACTATAGACTAGACTATAGACTAGACTATAGACTAGACTATAGACTAGACTATAGACTAGACTATAGACTAGACTATAGACTAGACTATAGACTAGACTATAGACTAGACTATAGACTAGACTATAGACTAGACTATAGACTAGACTATAGACTAGACTATAGACTAGACTATAGACTAGACTATAGACTAGACTATAGACTAGACTAAGACTAGACTATAGACTAGACTATAGACTAGACTATAGACTAGACTATAGACTAGACTATAGACTAGACTATAGACTAGACTATAGACTAGACTATAGACTAGACTATAGACTAGACTATAGACTAGACTATAGACTAGACTAGATAGACTAGACTAGACTATAGACTGACTATAGACTAGACTATAGACTAGACTATAGACTAGACTATAGACTAGACTATAGACTAGACTATAGACTAGACTATAGACTAGACTATAGACTAGACTATAGACTAGACTATAGACTAGACTATAGACTAGACTATAGACTAGACTATAGACTAGACTATAGACTAGACTATAGACTAGACTATAGACTAGACTATAGACTAGACTATAGACTAGACTATAGACTAGACTATAGACTAGACTATAGACTAGACTATAGACTAGACTATAGACTAGACTATAGACTAGACTATAGACTAGACTATAGACTAGACTATAGACTAGACTATAGACTAGACTATAGATAGACTAGACTATAGACTAGACTATAGACTAGACTATAGACTAGACTATAGACTAGAGATAGACTAGACTATAGACTAGACTAAACTAGACTATAGACTAGATTATAGACTAGACTATAGACTAAACTATAGACTTAACTATATACTAGACTATAGACTAGACTATAGACTAGACTGTAGACTAGACTATAGACTAGACTATAGACTAGACTATAGACTAGACTATAGACTAGACTATAGACTAGACTATAGACTAGACTATAGACTAGACTATAGAGTAGACTATAGACTAGACTATAGACTAGACTATAGACTAGACTATAGACTAGACTATAGACTAGACTATAGACTAGACTATAGACTAGACTATAGAGTAGACTATAGACTAGACTATAGACTAGACTATAGACTAGACTGTAGACTAGACTATAGACTAGACTATAGACTAGACTATAGACTAGACTATAGACTAGACTATAGACTAGACTATAGACTAGACTATAGACTAGACTATAGACTAGACTATAGACTAGACTATAGACTAGACTATAGACTAGACTATAGACTAGACTATAGACTAGACTATAGACTAGACTATAGACTAGACTATAGACTAGACTATAAACTAGACTATAGACTAGATTATAGACTAGACTATAGACTAAACTATAGACTTAACTATATACTAGACTATAGACTAGACTATAGACTAGACTATAGACTAGATAGACTAGACTATAGACTAGACTATAGACTAGATAAGACTAGACTATAGACTAGACTATAGACTAGACTATAGACTAGACTATAGACTAGACTATAGACTAGACTATAGACTAGACTATAGACTAGACTATAGACTAGACTATAGACTAGACTATAGACTAGACTATAGACTAGACTATAGACTAGACTATAGACTAGACTATAGACTAGACTATAGACTAGACTATAGACTAGACTATAGACTAGACTATAGACTACACTATAGACTAGACTATAGACTAGACTATAGACTAGACTATAGACTAGACTATAGACTAGACTATAGACTAGACTATAGACTAGACTATAGACTAGACTATAGACTAGACTATAGACTAGACTATAGGCTATAGAGTTTGTAGACTAGTCTTTATATAAAACAATTTTATTAATTTTTATTATGTTTCTTTTTTTTGCAGAATTTTGTTTCAGCTTTACAAAAACGTATCCAATTAAGTGGCACCGAAACACCCTCAGAACGTCTCGCTCTCAAAACTAGTTCCAACGAACGTAATACCTTTCGCAGTGATCGCACACATTGCACCACCATACCACCCGATTCGGATATGTTGATAAAATTGAAATTGTACGTGATATAGCATAACACTCGGTGTATAATGATATGTAAAGAAAACCAAATATAAAAAAAAGACACAAAAATAATTGATGAAATTTCATGTGTAAGTAAGTACTAAACTGTATTTAAAAACCAAACTTTGCATATACCTATTTATAAAAAAAAAAAAAAAAAAATGAAAAAAAAAACTAAAAAAAAAAAAATTTATGCAAGCTTAAGCTTGTCTGTTAAAAACACACTTGAAAATAAATAAATTTGAAATTTGAACAAGAAATTACAACAGCTTTAATATTGGTTTCCTGTAGAGAAACTTAAAAAATATAATAAATTAAAAAAAATAAACGCTAAAGTTAATTTTTCTAAAATAAAAATAAAATTTTCATTAATTTTTACTACAAGTGATTACGCTACTAAGCGATTTTTGTTAAGTTTCTTTTTCTTTAATTTCTATTTTTATTATTACTATTTTTTAAAAAAATAATTTAATTTTAAATTAAATAATTTTTTATAAAAAAAAAACATTTTTACTAAACAAAAGTAAAGTTAAACATATTCCTAATTTATAAACAGGGATTAAATTTAATTTTTTTATTAAGTCCTTCTTAATAATTATAATAAAACATTATAAAAACAAAATTATTTAAAGCAAAACCAAGAATTTAAATCTAAAAAAACTTAAATTACAAAAATAAACACTGTCTTTCTTGTAACTATAAGTTGCTAATCTGGCAGCACTATGCCAAAAACCACAATTTTGATATTGGTAAACTTGTTTAATGAAATCTGTGCGATTTTTAATAATTAAATAAATATTAATTACTAAATATATTTATTTCAACTATGAATATCATGATTTAATAATAAAAACATATTAACGGTAATTTTAGAATGATTTTTTATAGATATGTATGTATTTAACTGCAGTGTAGACTAGACTATAGACTGGACTATAGACTAGACTATAGACAAGACTATAGACTAACTATAAACTATACTATAAACTAGACTATAGACTAAATTATAGACTAGACTAAAGACTAGACTATAGACGAGATTATAGACTACACAATAGACTAGACTATAGACTAGACTATAGACTAGACTAGAGACTAGACTATAGACTAGACTATAGACTAGACTATAGACTAGACTATAAACCAGACTATAGACTAGACTATTGACTAGAGTATAGACTAGACTATACTAGAGTATAGACATAGAAGAGTATAGACTAGACTATAGACTAAACTAGAGACTAAACTATAGACTAGACTATAGACCAGACAATAGACTAGACTATAGACTAGGCAATAGACTATACAATAGACTAGACTATAGACTAGAGTATAGACTAGACTATAGACTAGAGTATAGACTAGAGTATAGACTAGACTATAAAGTAGACTATAAAGTAGACTACAGACTAGTCTATAGAAAAGACTATAGTCTAGATTGTAGTCTATATTATAGACTAGACTACAGACAGTACTATAGACTAGAATAAAGACTAGACTATAAAGTAGACTACAGACTAGACTCGACTAGACTATAGATTAGACTATAGACTAGACTATGAACAGACTATAGACTAGCCTATAGACTAGACTATAGACTAGCCTATAGACTAGCCTATAGACTAGACTATAGACTGGACTATAGACTAGACTATAGACTAGACTATAGACTAGACTATAGACTAGACTATAGACTAGACTATAGACTAGACTATAGACTAGACTATAGACTAGACTATAGACTAGACTATAGACGAGACTATAGACTAGACTATAGACTAGACTAGACTATAGACTAGACTATAGACTAGACTATAGACTAGACTATAGACTAGACTATAGACTAGACTATAGACTAGACTATAGACTAGACTATAGACTAGACTATAGACTAGACTATAGACTAGACTATAGACTAGACTATAGACTAGACTATAGACTAGACTACAGACTAGACTATAGACTAGACTATAGACTAGACTAGACTATAGACTAGACTATAGACTAGACTATAGACTAGACTATAGACTAGACTATAGACTAGACTATAGACTAGACTATAGACTAGACTATAGACTAGACTATAGACTGGACCATAGACTAGACTATAGACTAACTATAAACTAGACTATAGATTAGACTATAGACTAACTATAGACTAGACTATAGACTAGACTATAGACTAGACTATAGACTAGACTATAGACTAGACTATAGACTAGACTATAGACTAGACTATAGACTAGACTATAGACTAGACTATAGACTAGACTATAGACTAGACTATTGACTAGACTATAGACTAGACTATAGACTAGACTATAGACTAGAATATAGACTAGACTATAGACTAGACTATAGACTAGACTATAGACTAGACTATAGACTAGACACTAGACTAGACTATAGACTAGATTATAGACTAGACTAGACTATAGACTAGATTATAGACTAGACTAGACTATAGACTAGACTATAGACTAGACTATAGACTAGACTATAGACTAGACTATAGACTAGAATATAGAGTAGACTAGACTATAGACTAGACTATAGACTATACTATAGACTAGACTATAGACTAGACTATAGACTAGACTATAGACTAGACTATAGACTAGACTATAGACTAGACTATAGACTAGACTATAGACTAGACTATAGACTAGACTATAGACTAGACTATAGACTATAGAGACTAGACTATAGACTAGACTATATAGACTAGACTATAGACTAGACTATAGACTAGACTATAGACTAGACTATAGACTAGACTATAGACTAGACTATAGACTAGACTATAGACTAGACTATAGACTAGACTATAGACTAGACTATAGACTAGACTATACTAGACTATAGACTAGACTATAGACTAGACTATAGACTAGACTATAGACTAGACTATAGACTAGACTATAGACTAGACTATAGACTAGACTATAGACTAGACTATAGACTAGACTATAGACTAGACTATAGACTAGACTATAGACTAGACTAGACTATAGACTAGACTATAGACTAGACTATAGACTAGGCTATAACTAGACTAGACTATAGACTAGACTATAGACTAAACTATAGACTAGACTATAGACTAAACTATAGACTAGACTATAGACTAGACTATAGACTAGACTATAGACTAGACTATAGACTAGACTATAAACTAGACTATAGACTAGACTATAGACTAGACTATAGACTAGACTATAGACTAGACTATAGACTAGACTATAGACTAGACTATAGACTAGACTATAGACTAGACTATAGACTAGACTATAGACTAGACTATAGACTAGAATATAGACTAGACTATAGACTAGACTATAGACTAGACTATAGACTAGACTATAGACTACTATAGACTAGACTATAGACTAGAATATAGACTAGAATATAGACAAGACTATAGACTAGACTATAGACTAGACTATAGACTAGACTATAGACTAGACTATAGACTAGACTATAGACTAGACTATAGACTAGACTATAGACTAGACTATAGACTAGACTATAGACTAGACTATAGACTAGACTATAGACTAGACTATAGACTAGACTATAGACTAGACTATAGACTAGACTATAGACTAGACTATAGACTAGACTATAGACTAGACTATAGACTAGACTATAGACTAGACTATTGACTAGACTATAGACTAGACTATAGACTAGACTATAGACTAGACTATAGACTAGAATATAGACTAGACTATAGACTAGACTATAGACTAGACTATAGACTAGACTATAGACTAGACTATAGACTAGACTATAGACTAGACTATAGACTAGACTATAGACTAGACTATAGACTAGACTATAGACTAGAATATAGAGTAGACTACTATAGACTAGACTATAGACTATAGACTAGACTATAGACTAGACTATAGACTAGACTATAGACTAGACTATAGACTAGACTATAGACTAGACTATAGACTAGACTATAGACTAGACTATAGACTAGACTATAGACTAGACTAGAGACTAGACTATAGACTAGACTATAGACTAGACTATAGACTAGACTATAGACTAGACTATAGACTAGACTATAGACTAGACTATAGACTAGACTATAGACTAACTATAGACTAGACTATAGACTAGACTATAGACTAGACTATAGACTAGACTATAGACTAGACTATAGACTAGACTATAGACTAAGATAGACTAGACTATAGACTAGACTGTAGACTAGACTATAGACTATACTATAGACTAGACTATAGACTAGACTATAGACTAGACTATAGACTAGACTATAGACTAGACTATAGACTAGACTATAGACTATAGACTAGACTATAGACTAGACTATAGACTAGACTATAGACTAGACTATAGACTAGACTATAGACTAGACTATAGACTAGACTAGACTAGACTAGACTATAGACTAGACTATAGACTAGGCTATAACTAGACTAGACTATAGACTAGACTATAGACTAAACTATAGACTAGACTATAGACTAACTATAGACTAGACTATAGACTAGACTATGACTAGACTATAGACTAGACTATAGACTAGACTATAGACTAGACTATAGACTAGACTATAGACTAGACTATAGACTAGACTATAGACTAGACTATAGACTAGACTATAGACTAGACTATAGACTAGACTATAGACTAGACTATAGACTAGACTATAGACTAGACTATAGACTAGACTATAGACTAGACTATAGACTAGACTATAGACTAGACTCTAGACTAGACTATAGACTAGACTATAGACTAGACTATAGACTAGACTATATACTACTATAGACTAGACTATAGACTAGACTATAGACTAGACTATAGACTAGACTATAGACTATAGACTAGACTATAGACTAGACTATAGACTAGACTATAGACTAGACTATAGACTAGACTATAGACTAGACTATAGACTAGACTATAGACTAGACTATAGACTAGAATATAGACTAGAATATAGACTAGAATATAGACAAGACTATAGACTAGACTATAGACTAGACTATAGACTAGA